AGATCTGTTCATGGACTTGAATGTCAAAGGTGTCCTCACCAACAGGTTCTCACACGTGCCCACTTCACAGAGCCTGGTCACGCAGTGTAGGTAGAAGGAGGAAATGGCCAGTTCATTATGTATCACAAACCTGAAGGCCTCAAAGGTGTACCTAGCTTCCTGCGCCTTCCCATTCAACTCTATTGTGGTCTGTGGCTCCTTGTCGCAGCTAGAGGTGGAGAAGACGGAGGACAGGGTTTAAACTTTCTGCTGTAGAAGATACGCAGGTTCCTAAAAAGCACTACCTATAAACCTGTCATGGATTCTCATCTGTAAAAACGTACATTTACTCACGTTGCTGAAACTGAGTAGTTTTTGTTAGTAATTTATTCAAGTATTTTACTTCGCTACCCTCGAAAAAAACCGTTACTGAGTAAAAAACTTAAATTCGGAGAAAAACAATCTGCGTTAACTGAAAGCTAATTGCGTGGGCGAGCGCGCACGGATTTCCCACTTTATTACTGTAGCCAGAGAACGTCGACTAAAAGATGGATTCTATCCTGTCGTTGGATGATGGCCGGCGCCGAACAAGAAATAGAGGTTGAGGATTGTTAAGAACTCCTGTGGAACAGACGACTCCGAAAGTGAAGGAAGTCTTTGGCCATATCGCAGCCAGCTTTGTTTTCAAATGCAAACAAGACAATAACGTTATCATGCGATGCAAAACGGAGTTGTCACTGTTAGAACTTCTACATTAAACCTGCGAAAGCATGTGGCGGTAAGTAGAGTATCTGTGCTTTTCCTTGTTTTCCAAACGTTATGTTTATTTTTTGGTAAAACCTTCCTCCGTTAAGTGTGCCTTCATGACAACTATTATTTTCGCCTAGCTTAGCATCCACCCTGATAGCTGACATTTCAGTGAAACAGAGCAGTGCCAGAGCAGTCAGAAATACTAGGCTACATGATTTTATAAGTGCATGATTTTAATTGCAGTTAATAAAATCATCTTACTTCCTGTGTCATAGACTAGACCAGCGGTTTTAAATAGGTGAGGCGCGGCTCCCCTGGGGGGCGCCAAAGAGTCGCAGGGGAGGCCTGCATGAAGTGAAAATTATTTTCTGTTGCAAATAATCGTTAAGGAATGCCCTTTTTAAAAAGTTGTGAAAATATCATTGCCTCATCATTGTCAGGAGCACACAGACGATGTATTTACTGCAGAGGCGTGTATGG